GTGTACAAACCTGATGTGTTATGTTATGTTAGTGGTGGTGTTGGTGTTCAGTGCCCTTGAGTCTCTCCCAGCTCAGGGACACCATGTACAACAGAACATAAACCCTGCTCAATTCTGTGCTGCAGACGCTACTGTGTTTGTGCCAGTCACTGTCGTCACTGTGTCGCTCCATCTCCTTGAGGACGTCCCTCTCCTTTCGCTGACCCTTGGACAAAAGTCCACCACCAGGGCTTTCTTCCGTGGCACTTCTGTTGTTTTTGTTATTGTGTACTGTTGAGTCAGAACCGATCCACGGCTGACCCTACAGTGGGTTTTCAGAGGCAGTTAATCACGTGGGATCGCCCATCCTTTTCCGACGGAGCAGCTGGTGGATTCGAGCTGCTTGCCTGTGGGATTGCAGCGCAGCTTCTTGCCGCTAGGCCACCAGAGCTCCTCCCTCCGTGGCACCTCTAGGCGGATGTCAATGGTCATTATATCAGTGAGTGCTTAATCATGTGTGCCACTCCAGCTGATTTCTGCTGGACCCAGTCAGTGGAGACTGGGAAAACCTCCGGGGCTTGACTTGTGATGCTCAGACTTGAAACACCTCAGCAGAATAAGCCTTACAACCAAGGAATGATGCCTTGTGTGCAGAAGGCTAGCATATTTATGGAAAAATAGTGGGTCAGTAAAAAAGAGAAAGATCTTCAATGTGGATTGACACAGTCGATACCACGATGGGCTTAAACTCAGAAAGATTGTGACAATGTCACATGACTCGACAGTGTTTCATTCTGGTGCCGAGTTCCAGCTGACTCGATGGTTAGGACCAACAGCTGCTATTGGTTGGCTGCCCGACAGGTACTATACCACCAGGGCTCTTTGGCTGAACAACAGAACACACAAATAAAACCCCACTGACACTGAGTGGATTGTGACTCATCGTGGCCCACAGGACGGATTAGAACGCACCGTTGCGTTACTCGGGTTATCAATCTCGGGAACAGAGGGCCACCTCTTTCTCCCAAGGGGCGGCTGGCTGGTGGATTTGAACTGCCAACTTTTCAATTAACAGCCCAGCACTTAACCTACTCTGCCACCGGAGCTCCTGGTTGAGACAAGGAGGGGTGCGAATTCTCTTGGTAACCCAAGCCACGGCAAGTTATCTAGAACTCTGGAAAGGTCATCTGCTTGGGCTTGAATTTTACAGCCCTTTTTCTAGGATTCCTGTCTACCACGAGGCTGAGGGAGTTCAGGAATTTGCTCTCTGGGGCTTTGGGGTTTATGACAGGGCATACCAGGTTCCAGGCCTGGAGAGTGGGCCCCCTCAGGAGAACTACTATCTGACGCGGTTCAGGGGAGTGAGTGACTGGTAAGCTCTTGAATTTGCTTGGCTCCACAAGGCCCCGTTGACAGTGTGACAAGAATCAGGCTTCTGACGAGAGAGGCTTGAAATCCTGAGAGAGCCTGACAAAGTGTTAATACCTCAGTGTGCAGGAGGAAGAGGTGTGATTTCCAAGGAGGTGACCAGCCAGACCCCAGGGCTTCCTTAGGATGCACCCCCAAACAGTTAAGTGCTTGACTGTTAACTGAAAGGTTTGGCAGTTTGAACTCACCCAGTAGGTGGCTCAGAAGAGAGTCCTGGTGATTTTTCCAAAGGTCACACAGCCTTGAACACCCCACGGAGACGTTCTTTTGCTCTGTAACACTGGGATTGGAGCCACAGTGGATTGGAATTGCCTCTGGGCAATTCTCTGGGGAATGGCCACTGTGTGTGTGTGTGTGTGTGTGTGTGTGTGTGTGTGTTTGTTTGTGGGTGCGTGGTGCCCAGTAAGTATTTCTCACTTGACCTTGCCTCCATTAACCTCCAAGGTCGAGTCAATCTGTGAATTGACTGAAAGGCCCTGAGGAATATTCTAGAGGAGTGTTCAGACTTCCTCAGGCCATGCTGGGCCTCATTGCCAGGGGCTGGTCACTTGCTTTAGCAGCTAGTGGTGTGGCCTGGGCTCTGAGAGAGACACTGGCTTCAATTGGTTGCCAGGAAGTAACTGCTTCCTGACTCACCAGCCGCTTAGAAGAGGCAGGACTATTTGAGTTGGGGACTCCAGGAGAAAGAAGGTGAATCCCAGAGCTCTTTTGGGGTGGTGTTGTTATGTACTGTCCAATGGGAACTGTCCCAGTTGACCTTCTAGCAGGTTTTTAGAGATTGTAAATTGCACAAGAGGAGGTTCTTCTTCCTTGGAGCAGCTGGTGGATTTGAACCACTTGCCTTTGGATCGGGGGCACAGCTCTTTACTACCAGGCTACCAGGGGTCCCTTCTGCGGGGGCTGTTGTTTACCATAGAGACAGAACCGACCCAAACCCTCCAGAGGGTTTTCAGAGGCAGTTAATCACGTGGGAGGAGATTGCCCATCCTTCTCTCAAGGATGGCCTCGAACCTTATGCCTTCGGGATTGCAGTGTGGCTTCTTGCCGCTAAGAGCCACAAAATGATCAGGGTCATTTTGGAGCTCCAGACCAGACTTGAGTGACGCTGACGCGAGGGCGGGCCATTTACCAGCAGTCAGTGCACAGAGGTGGGAAACTTTGAACCCTGAGCAAAAGTGGTGGGTGGGTGATGGTGGCTGAGGCAGTGGGAGAAACCGGGCTCTTGGAAGAGTCCTCCTTCAACTCACCCCTGTCTCCCCATCTTCTAGGCGGACCTGAATTGGGGCCCGAGCGGCGAGGAGGCGGGGGCCGGCGGCGGCAGCGGCAACAGCAGCGGTGGCTTCTACGGCGTGAGCAGCCAATATGAGAGCCTAGAACACATGACCCTCACCTGTTCCTCCAAGATCTGCTCCTTTGGCAAGCAGGTGGTGGAGAAGGTAGAGGTGAGGCTGAGGGCAGGGCAGAAGTTACAGGGCAGGGGAGTGCCCTGTAACTTGGTAATTTGCGAGGTGTGGATGTTGACTGTGTAGACTAAAGACCACGAAGGGTGTGGAGTTTGGGAGATTTCTGCAAGGTAAGAAGGGTCCCACCCTCTTTATTTAGAGTGTGGAACTGATAGATTATTTAAGAGTCATATGTAGGGATCATTCTGAGAGTTTAGAGCAATGTGGAGAGATATCTAGGGTCACTAAGAGGCTCTGGACTGTGGCTGACTCTGAGAAGAATGGGAATCCCAGAACACTTGATTGTGCTTATGCGAAACCTATACTTGAACCAGGAGGCAGTCGTCAGAACAGAGAAAGAAAACAGTGCATGGTTTAAAATCAGGAAAGGTGTCCTATCTCCTTTTCAATCTATATGCAGAACAGGTCATCCGGGAGACTGGGTTCTATGAGGAGAAATGTGGCATCAGGATTGGAGGAAAACTCGTCAACAGCCTGCATTATGCAGATGACACAACCTTGCTTGCTGAAACTGAGGAGGACCTTAAAAGCATTTGCTGCGGAAGGTCAAGAACTGCAGCCTTCAATATGGATTGAAGCTCAACATCAAGAAAACAAAGATTCTCACATGCTTGGCAGCATCATGATAGATGGAGAAGATATTGAGATTGTTAACAGCTTTAGTTTGCTTGGCTCCGTGATCAACACTTTTGGTACCTGCAGCCAGGAAATCAAAGGATGAATTGCACTGGGAAAGTCGGCTGTCAGGGACCTCTCCAGAATACTGAAGAGTAACGGTGTCAGTCTGGAGACTAAGGTGCGCCTGATCTAGGCCACAGTCCTCACAATTATGTGCTATGCATCAGAAAGCTGGGCAATGACGAGGGATGATAGAAAGAGAATTGATGCCTTTGAGCAGAGTATTAAATATACTATGAACTGCTAAGAGAACAAACAAGTTTGTTCTGGAGAGGGTGAAACCAGGCTGCTCCTTGAAGGCAAGGATTCTGAGGCTCTGTCTGACATACTTTGGGCATGTTGCAAGGCGGGACCAGTCTTTGGAGAGGGGCCTTATGCTTGGGAGGGCGAAGGGACAGTGCAGGTGTGGAAGACCCTCGATGAGGTGGATTGACTCAGTAAGGTTCAGAGGAGTTGTACATAGGGTCACTATGAGTTGCAGGAGACTTGATGACATATAACAACAACAAGAAGTTCAATAAGAGGCTCTGGTGGCGTAATGAAAGGAATTAGGCTGCCAACACAAAGATACGTGGTTCAGACCTATCAGCTGTATACCCCCGAAAAAAAGATGCTTTATCTCCTGTGCCATGTACTGCCTCTGAAAAACTGACGGTGCCCACTTGACAGTACACAACATCAACAAAAGGTTCATCTTGTTGTTAGGTGCCGAGTCATAGACAATTTATAGCAACCCTATGAACGGAAGACCTGAGCTCTGTTCATAGAGTTCTTGGACACAAGCCATTTCAGAAGTGGATGCCACTCCTGCTTCTAAGCTTGTTTTAAGAAGCTCATAGACAATATAAATAAGGAAGGCCAAAGAAGAATTGATGTCCTTAGCACTGTGGCATTTGGACAAGAACAAACTGGGAGGAGGGTAGAGAGAATAGTGCAACAATGAATGAGTGGAAGCCCAAAATCTCTAAATGTTTATGAAAATTAATAAAATATAATTAAAAAAAAAAAGAAAATGGGTGGACAGACTACCTGACCTGGAGTAGGAGATTTCTTAACATCACCGACTCTAGCAGCAGCTGTAAACCTCACGGAAGGACCCTGCCCATCTGTGGAGCTACAGGTGAATTCCAACTGCAGGAGGAACACATTTTTTTTTTGGTTGTTTGGGGTTTTTTTTTACTGTACAAAGCATATATTTCTTTTCATTTTATTTCAACGTAGAAGAAAATGTTATTTTTCTGAAGTAAAGTATTTTTAAAATCATACAGCATAAGGACTTTTTTT